ATGGGGGTTTGCCTTCATGGTTTCAAATGGACCACCGTACACTGGTGTTCCTCACATTTGTAGAGAAAGGGTGGGGGGGTGTAGTTCTCTTCACATTAGCGCTATCAGTGAGCGATGATAAATGGGTCGATCTATCCATCTCTGCTGTCACATTCATAAAAGAAATTTGGCCTTCGTCAAGGGAATCAAGCATGGTGCTGTAATATCCGCAACACGTATCCATCAAGTGTAACTCGAGACATATCAAAACGCTGTAGCGAATATACCTGAGTGAATAATATTTCACCCATGATAATGCAGCAAATATCCACTGAAAAAAAATCTGCATTTTTCCGTCTCAGCTGCAGAGGACGGCGGAGGAGGTGGGCTACTGATCATATTCAATCTGGAGGCGATCATGTAAATAGCCCTCCATCTTGGGAAGGCGATATGCAAAGCAGCCCGTCTCCCCTGTGTCAGGATCAGATTAATGGAAACCTAAAAGTGGGAATTACGGCCCTTATCCGGTGCGGCGTTCCGGGGAGGGGCTGGGATATGGGCCCTGGGGGAATCTGCCTGGTTCAAAGCCCATTCCTCTGGTTAAGGAACCCGCTAAGATCCATGCACCAAGGTGAAGGGTAATTTCCTTTGATATTCAGCAATGTATTACTGTATGTAGTATGCAAGCTGCATGCCCCACTGGCTCTGAGTGCATGTGTGAATGTGCATGCATGCGTGTAACATGCAAATGTATGCGCACACAGACAGCCATGCAAAGAAGCCATAGCAGTAAACAGCATTATAAAGAGTGGACGTAATCATGATTATGGGAAAACCTACAGATCTGTGCCATGTCTGTTCACCTCACCGACAGGCATGAGGTGAAAAAATCGATTCTTTGTAAGATTATGTCTCATTGCAATAAGTATTAAAATATAATAATCGGAAATTTGACCATACTTGCATATACTACACGTCATAGAGAGCGCAAAATTAAAGCATATGGTCAAATGCCTGAGCTCCGCTACAATGTGCCTTCATGTGTGCAGTTTAGTCAGTCTGTTATCAACAGGTCACAGTCTTATGATGGAGCGTTGCTGATTGACAATTCATTGACAATATGCCGGTATTTCAGTGCCTGAACTCGAACAGTAAGAATTAAGGCCAATGAGCCACTGTTGAATATTTACATTTTTCCAAAATACATATATTATATACTGAATATTTTCTGCATTTACACCCCTAATGCAAGTGTCTAACTAAACGTAAAGATAATTGAAGGTAATTCCTTTGTTTATTTTAACTATGGATCATTAGGCTGTAGCAACAGTAGCAAGTAGTCACACGGTGAGAAATAATAAATGATGTATAGAAATTAGGGCTGTCAAGCGATACATTTTTTCTTAATCGCGATTAATCGCATGTTTTATCACAAGATTAAAATTCTATTATTATTATTATTATATATGTTAACTGTTTTAAGAATGTATTAACAATGGTAACAATTCTTGTGTATCTTGATTGGAAATCAAATTAATGCAAAGAAAGTTTTTGAACTTGACTTTAAGATTTATTTGATTATTTCAAATCAAAAGATGTGCAACGAGACTGAGGTAAAACAATCAAGCTAAATGAAATATAGTCTTATTATTTTGTAAATGAAATATAGTCTAGGAGTTTCAGTTTGACTGCTTTCTCTGTTTCATACAGGCTTTGTATGCGTCCAACAATTGTCCCCCGCAACAACAATGTATATAACTCGCACTGTCCAAAATAGTGCATTGCCTCAGTCAGCTAGCATCAACCTGATTAGCTGTACTAGCTGTATGCTTAGCTAGTTGATGGTAACATTAGCTTAAAATATGTAAGTTTTTGATTTTAATAAATCAAATTTTCATTGTCTTATTGTCAATGGGCTCAAAACTCACTTAGAAATGAAGCACACGCCTGTTTCCTCCGTTGCTTGCATCTGCCACTATTCTGCTTTTAATGTGAGGTCTCCAGGTCGGATTCAGCACTGTGGGCCTCTCTCAGACTACTGCGACAACACGGCAGCAAACGACATGCATTCCACTAACACCATAGGATACAAAACAACAATAAAGGCTTATGTGCTGAAGCCCATCAGACCAAACGGGTTCAGATGACGTCGAGTAAGAACAAAGTGAGCATTAGTAAAGCTGGAGAAACACAGAGAAAGTCACCTTAGCTCGCCGGCTAACGCCGAGCAGTTGCTAATGTTATCCAGTGTAAAGTTATATCGCTTTCCACATTACTTCACCAACTAACGCCACCCATGTTACTATCCTGTGTACCACTGTTGATTTAGCCTGCAAAGCAAAGGTGGAGAGATTTGTTTACTAACGTTAGCCTATAGTGATGCAGCCAGGAGCAGCCAGCTAACGCTACAGTAGCTCGGACCTGCCACTGTTTGCTTCGTTATCGATACTCAGGTACACAGCTTCTCCACCTCTCAGTCGCTGTAACTAACATGACCCACATAACATAAAACAGTTTACCTGAGTTTCCAGCTCTGTCTGTTCTCCCTGTCTGTCTATAGCCGCTGTCACTCTGCCTTTTTTCGGGAGTATTGAACCGATATGCAGCTCGCTGCGCTGAATGAAAGGTACGGCGCCGGTGTTGAGCTGCCTCTGAGACGGGAACATCGAAGTAACAGAGCCTGAACTTGTCTGGAGAAAAGCCACATGCTGGTGTTCCTGCGTTTATTGTGGTATTTCTGTATGAAAGTGGTTGTGTTTCGGATTATGGTCGCTCATGAGTTCAAGCGAGCACGCGTACGAGCACACACCCGGTTGCAATCTTAGAACCTAGAACCGCACCGCTAGTGGCCGCTGGAAACTCCATAATGCCTTAGTGCTTTGATGATATTTTAATTCCATTTCACGCAAGGTGCATACTGCTTTTGACATGTCAACGGAGCCGTCTGGGACTGTGTTGTTGTTCATCTCCATTGCTGCAGCATGAGGTAGGAAGTGTCATGACAACAAGTAAGGGTGCATCGAAGGGTCAAAATAGTAGCAGCCAAAGATCTTTTTAGCAAAGATTCTTTGTTAACAGCACCAGTGACAGTGTAAAGTAAGAATATTTGACACACGCGATGAACGCGATTAACACAATTAAAATGCATTATGATCGGTCCTTAATCTCATTGCGATTAACGTGTTAATGTTGACAGCCCTAATAGAAATCAAAACTTGTATCAAGATGCATCAATAATCATTTTATTATTATTATTATTATTATTATTATTATTATTATTATTTTTTTTATTATTATTGTTGTAACCTCAGAATCAGAATTGCTTAGAGATTCACACCTCCTCTTGCCGGCCACAAAATAATCAACCTCTAATGTAATACTGTAGGTTGTAGGATAGAGCTTCAGTTATATCCAATTCAGCTGGGATTTGATGCTAGTTAGCCTGTTAGCCTTGGCCCACTTAAAAGTCCAACAAAAACAGTACCACTGAAAGTATTAATTAGCACCACAAGTGCAATGTAACAGCAAAATAAAACAACCTCAAACATATAATCCACAGGGGTAAATTCCCTCACAGAAGTTCTGACAGATCACCAGAGAAGAAAGGACAGCGTTCTTGTGTATGTATATAGTGTGTGTCATTCAGAATTCAACAAAATAATGTACAAGTGGTCTTGGCATAACCAATATCAAAGGCCAGTTTTTCATCAGGCTTGATCCTCGGGGTTGGCGGCTTTGTGCACTCTGTGGATATGACAACAAGCCCAAATCTATTACCTGTAGCTCAGTGTGTCTGTCTTATCAAGGCTGCCCACAGTGTGAGGCTCTGCAATATGCACCGCCACCTGACTTGAAGGCGCTCGCCGAGGATTGGTAATATGGAATGAAACCGGTCGTGCACACACGTGAGGAGCAGACATATGCACAAATTGAGCTCACAAACACACTTCATACTGCGGTAAACCCTACCGGCTTATTTAGAATAACACAAGAAAAGGCAGCAGTTGGATTTCATTAGAGTGTGGAAGAAGTATTACAAGAGGCTATCCAAATACCTCCTTCTACTATGTCTTATGTCTTTTTTCCTCTTTCCTTTCCTCTTTCTCTTTCATGCCACCTCACTCATCTGGATTCTCTCTCTCTCCTTCCCTCCGTCAACCTCTTTACTATTCATTGAGATCCAATCGAGTGTTTGGCACTCCTCCAGCTCTTCCACCCCTCCTCTCTTCCCTCCCTCCCTCCCTCTTTTGGCTTGCTTAAATTTGAATAATACATGACCTGGCCTAGCGGTGACGTCAACACATTCACACATATATACTGTACATACACATGCACAATAAGACCAGAAAACTAGAGGATGAATCTTCTTCCATACACACTCTGGACGCACAGCTGCTCACAATCTATCCTGTCAACAATTCATCAACCAGCCCAGTTGCACCGTGTGTCATGTGTATGTTTCTGTGCATATTCCCAATTTATTTTCCAGTATGAGCACCCTTGTGTGTATTTTTCTTCTTTTTAAGTATAAAAGCTTTAACTGTGTGTATGCGCACCTGTGTGTGTGATGCATGTGTGTGTGATGCAGTCACACAGTCACAGCATCTGGCTCCTCTATGCTCCCCGACATTAGCGCAGACAAGAGAATCAGTGGACTATTGAATGCAATTACAGTCTGCGGGCCAGACAATAAAGATTGATAGTGCTTTCGCCTTTTATCACACACCAAAACATACCAGAGGTTAAAGCCTGCGAGCCTTGAGCTGCCTGCATTCTAATAATGATTGAAAATATGCCACCAGAGTGAGGAGGTATACTTGTGAAAAAAATACAGGAATGCATAAAGCAAAAGGGTGATATGTGTGGGCCGCTTTGCATTTCACAATGATCACACTGTGAAGGAATATGACAAAATTACTTGTGTGGTTTTTTTGTGTGTTGTTAATGGGAACTGAAACAAATTGTATTTGTTTATGTACTTTTGTCCATGATGAAAGTAAGACTTTGACAAGACAAAACACTTTTTTACAACAAAGATTTGACTACATTTCTATACAACATTATGTAACTACAGAGGATTTTTTAAAAATAAAATCTGTAAATTTCTGTATATTTTCTCTGACAAACAAAATGAAGACAAAATCCACGACTTCTCTTCCTGCATGGCTGGGTCACCTTCCCCGTTACACACCTGCAGTGCAGCGCCTGTGGTGCTGGAGCCTGAACTCAGCTGCATCTTATGGCCTCGGGAGCCCTGCTAAGTGTAAAGGTGACAGGAAAATAAGTGATAGCAATAGCAAAAAAACAAAAACAAATACAAAATACAGAGAGCAACAATTACCAGAGAAATAAAGAGTGAGTGTGTAATAGTTTCTTAAGAGAAGCCTTGCTGCTCATTAGGAACTTTAAATTGTTCACCAAATGTGCTGTACTTTTATTTAGTAATGCTAAATACAATTTTTTTAAATTCTTAGTTAATTGGAAAAAACACTGTAGTTGTTTGTGTATAGTTTTTGGAGTTTTTTTTTTAAACAATGACCTTTTGATGTGGTTCTGATTGTTTTCACAGTGGATCTAGTTGCCCTCATATCGTTCAGTCCACCTGAGGGCAACACTTTTGGAATAGTGTCAGTTCAGGTGTAATTATGATACCATACACTGTAATAGCACTTCCCATGTTGGTATTATCTCAACTTAAATATGCTTCTCTGAACAATGTTTCATGGCTTATTTAAAGACATGTATGGATACATTCTATCAACAACCTAACTTCATAAAAAGCAGCATTCTTAATCATACAACCTGCCCATTTGCGGCTAATTTTCTTTGAAAGAGTTCTTTCAAAGTTGCTAAAATCTGCATTAAATCATTTATTGGCTACTTGGGTAGATCGACACAACAAATTGTACGCACAATGCTGATTTATTAAACAAGTGCTGAAACTTTCCAAAAAAAGCTCTGTAGAGGTGAGGGGAATTGTAAAGTTGGTCATAGTGTGATATTACACATAGTCTTTTGATCCATTAGTGCAGCTTTAAGTTTGACTAAATGTTTATCAACTTTCTTGAGTAAAATACGATTAATACTGTATATACAGTGTTTAAATTATTTAAATGTCAAGATGCACCTAAAATTAGTATGACTAGAATACAACAGATGAAGTTGGCTAAATGACTGAAAGTCAACTGGACTTTTCCCCCCCTCATAATAAGGCCACAGCCAGCACCAGCCTGCTGCAGAGAGCAAACTCATCCCTGCTGTCTAACTATACATATTTGTGTCTCTTTTAAAAAATCTGAACTGAAATCTGACGTGGTTCTTCACATGCCTGAAAAGTTTCATGGCCTCATACCCAAAAACCTGTTCATATCTACTGAAATAATTTCACAAAGACACGATAGTTGATCTGTTTAATCACTGCCATGTGATTTATCCTGACATATCAAAGCAGATTCTTTTCATCTAAGCATTCACAGGACAAAATGTGCCTGGGAGTGAGGGAGACAGATTAAAATAGTCGGTTGCCAAAGACATACAATGCATCATGATGAAGGAATAATGGGAGATGGTGACCAAGGACAGATCTGAGAGAGGAACAGAGGAAACAAAGAGCAGGATGGAAGAGGAAGACAAAAATGACAGGAGGAGAAAAAGGACAAAAGAGGATAAAACACAGGATTTTTTTTTAAACAGAAACAGCCACACAAATAGCAGAGGATGAGTGACAGAGTGATTGTTCTGTTATGTGGCTGACTGGCCACAGCCCTCTAACATATGAATGTACATGTGTGGTAGCTTTATTCAAGCGCTGCTGTTGATTATTTCTGTCCTATTAGTGACATTCTCCTTCAGTCACTCTTCTTTTTCTTTCTGTCTGCGCTTGAACAGAATAAATACACTTTACCTTGACACGCCACTGTTTGTCTTTCCTTCATACAAAACCTGTTTGTGTTTCAAAGAGAATAAAAATCACACTCGATGCCTCTTGAAAGTGTCATCCTTCATTTTATTTTATTTTTTTTATCTTTTTGTAATTACTTTGGGTCTGTGGTTAGTATTGTGACATGCTTTTCTTTGGATTTTGTGTTGAGGAGTTTTCAGTTTCTGTAGGTGATGGGTTTTGTCTGCTCATTCTATTTGAAGTTTTACGATTGATTTTAAAGAAACTGGATGTGCAAAACACACAACACCTCCTATGCACCTTTTATTCAGGATTGCCTGAAATGGTATTGATGAGAATCAGAATCACCTTTGTAGAAATAATTTGCTACAAGGGATTTAACTCTGGTTGTCAGTAGCGCTCCTTAAATTTCAGTGTCAGTTAGAAAGTTACAGTAAGATAGAAATATAGACATGTTTTGTTATATATATTCAACCAGGTCATTATAAGCCAATTTTATATGTATAGCCCGACATCACAAATCACATTTTATATTTCATCAGACCCTGACAAACAGACAAACATAACAAAATATGACACAAAATCAGAATGTAAAAAATTAGATTTTTAAATTATCTTTAAAAGATGTCATGTTTAAAACAACCCAAGAAGCCGTAAAAGCTATAAAAAGAATGAATCTACACAAATCCAAAACTACAACTACTAATTTAGAGATTTGGAATGCAGTGTCTGCAGCAATTATTTGAATTCACAAAGAGAGACCACATTTTGCAATTTTGTAACTAACAGTCAGAAGGTTCTGGCAGTAGGAGCAGTATATATATAAATGCTCTATTGACCAATTCAGTGCTGCCATTCAACTAAGCAAAGGCAACATAGCTTAACAAAGATGAGCAGACAAATGCACAGAGGTTATATTTCAGGCAAAATATATGAATACAGGGTTGTAGTGTGGTTGGCGCTGTGCTGCACAAGAAACTTTATTATTTCATCATTACTTTTTTGTAATCAGTAAAAACAGTAAAAGCACGGCATGTGATTTTAACTTTTAAATCACTCCTTAAAATATTTTATTTATTTATTAATATTTAATATGTTTCCTGTGGTTCTACCACTGCTTTTTTTGCCATTTCATGTTCATCTAGATTCATCAATATTTTATTGTCTTAGTGTTTCATGATTTCATTTCTTTTTTTTTACTGAATTCTTTGGTTTTGTTTTGCTTTTCCTTGTGAAGCACTTACTAACTTTTTGAAGAGCTATACTAATTGCTATACAAATTATTTTTATTATTATTATTTTTATGAAGTTATTACAAATCTAATTTCAAACTGACCCATATAAAACCTACCTGAACCATAATGTATAAATTCTGAAAGACCCAGTCCAAAGGGGACCAGAGGGCAGTCAGAACCAATTCAACTGCAAACTGAACAGCTAGAGAGAGAACACGGACACTGGCAGACTCCTGATGCCACTTTACAAGCCACCACAATTGGAAAGAGTGGCAATGGAGTGTCATTTTTTTTTACAGTTTAAACTCTCCTTTTGTGTTGTGTTTTTCTCCTGTAATAATGATGACATAACATTTGATCACAGCTGACAGTGAGTTTGCTCAGATCCACTAAGCACACAGACGCGCGACATCCTACAATACACCTGATCTGATTAGACTAAACATGGACCTGGCCTGATTGATGCTTTATTAACTTGTAAAGCAGTTTTGATTTGTGATCTTAGAAGTGTGTTCATGTATAAATTTTAAAATAAAAGCAAAATTTGTTGCATTTAATTGTTTACTTCTACGACATTTGCTGTAGCTGAACTTCTTATAGCCAGCTAATCTAAAGTATGAGGACTTTGTCCTTGCTGACCGTTGATTAGAGGTTGATCCATAATCCAAGGATAATTTGTTTGTGTACTCTCCCGGCCACAACCTAACACAAACAGGCAACGCAGCAGATGCCTAATCTGTCCAACCAACACCGGGTACATTAGATGTTTTACCACTGGACGGTGAGTGCTGTGTTTACCACGTTTTGCTGCCGTATTTGCATATGAAACAGTGTCCTCAGATAATTCTCCAGGAAATATTAGCAGATTAGAAGCGGATAGGATTAATGTATGGTGTTATGGCATGTTCTGATACAGACACACAGACACTGTGGAGTCTGCATGTGTTGATGTAAATCATCAGCAGAAGCACACACACCCTCACACTCTAACCCCTGTCCCTCGCAGAGATACTGGAAGCGGGAGGACGAGGGTTCACAGATAACAGTCAAACACACACACCTATTTAAAAGGTTGATATTTTAGTAGTAAACATGTAGGATTCCTTCATTATTTGACAACTCCCCCGCCTGGCTAGTTGGGAGCTTTCCGTTAAGATGCTTATCTGAAATGTCAAAAAGAATTATGCTGATAGCAGTCAGTATGAATAGGGCCTACGCCGTCCCCGATAAGGACGCATATGGACTCCAGCGCTCTCTTTGCCAACACTGGATTTCCTGCACATCTAAAAAGGGCCTAATTCCACGCTAATATGAATATGCTTGCCCCCCCCCCCTCAGAAAGAATTATGGTCCCCGTGAACCGATCCTCAGTCTTCTTACCTCTTGCCACGACAAAAATGCCACGGTAATGTCAGGGGAGATGTAACGATTTAGATCTCGACGATTGTCCCGTGTCAGCCGCACATCCGTCGGCCCGGACGAGTTGATTAGAGTTGGGACATCAAAAGAGGCTCAGGGTGGAGATAAGAGGGAGGGGGTGGGGGGGTTATGGGGTGGGGAGGGTTTGGGGGGAGGTGGGGGGGTATTAACGTGTTTCCCGTCAGGAATTAAGGCGCAGGAGGAGTTTCAGCCAAAGTTCTGTCTGTCTCGCCTTCTGCTATCTTGAAAGAGTTGGCAGTGACTCTGGCTTTTTTGCATAAGAGCTGAGATAATCTGAGCCTGTTCAGATCAATTAATGAAGAGATAGGGAGTACAGTAAGCAAACTGACAAGAGCGTGCAAAAGTCAACTCTTTGCACGTGAGTGTGTGGTGTGTGTTCTGCTACTTCTACACCAACAAAAGTCCTCAAGGATAGAAAGATGAGTAACATCTTTACTTGTGCAGCGGGCAAGTTTCCGGTCAGGAGACCTGGAGCACATATTGACCACGCTGCTGAGGGACTAGGAAACAGATCCACGTTGTTCTTTGTTTTTGTTTTTTCTAAATGAAAGCAGGTGTGGTTACATTGCAAAAGGTCATGAATGTTGTTAAACTGCAATAAAGTACATCAGAGCATAATGTTTTGTGCTGAAATTAGCAGTAAATTAATTAATTGCCAGCAATTTTGACATAGAGTTAAAA